GGCATTACAGGAAAAAATAAGTTGCTCCGTGGGAGGCTTGTTTTGGTGTTGAACCCTTTGAATGTAGCTCGAGTTTTGTATTTATAGGAGGAGTCCCTAGATGAGTAATCGAGGCTGAATTTACGCATAGTGAAGTCTGATTAGCGCAAGTGGGCAGTCCAATCGACATTTGGGATCGTGAAGTATGGTGGTGTGACCCCAGAAATCCCGGTGAATCTCGGCCGCATTAAATGCCTCTTTGTGGCCAATGGGTTTGCTGCATCAAACAGGCACTACTTCATTAAATGAAGCCTGGGACCCTGCTGTCACGTGATGATTTGCCTTTAATGCCTTGACCGCGATTTTGTTCGGCCTTGACCTCGGCCTGCGCTTGAGGCCGAGATGCTCATGCCTTAGCATTTCTTCTTTTATCTTTAGGAAGGCGAAGTACCCTGGCGAAACGCTGCGTTTCAGATTTTACGAACAAGTGCCAGGGCCGAGAGAAGGGGCTCCTTCGGCCAGCTTATGGCCATGATTCATCAGGCACAAACAACTCCCAGTGTTGATCAAGACCCTTCCGACATCGAATTCAACTATTTAGGCTCGGATAATCATCGAATCGTCATGCGGGTAAAGGATCCCTTCTTCCTCTTCTTCGTAAAATGTTATGGGTTCCCATCGTACTTTTGGCACTTTTGTATGCCGGCTGCTCTCGATGCCGAGGACTTGGGGATATTGAGCTACCCGATGTACTGCTTGCTTGAGCGGTTGGATACGCCTGCCAAGGTTGGTCCTCCGCTAATGGTGTTGATCATGTTGATCTGCCAATTTGTGTTCGGGGCTGGCGCCTGTTGGGGCCTGGCAATGTACTGATCCAACTTGCCCTCCCAAATCAATCGTTCGACGATTTTTCGTAGTCCTCTGTGTTGTGACTGTTGTGTTGGTGGTATCGGCAGAATTTGCCAGTGTCTCGGTTGTCCTGCCGATTGGGTTTCCGGTTGACGGGCTTCGGTATAATCTCCTGCTCGTTCATGAGGACAGCTCCGTAAGAGGCGTTGAGCAGGGTATAGACTTCTTGCCCTTGGCCATGGTTCAGTAGTGGCCCCCGGTGGTCGCTGCAGCCGAATCTCCCTTTTCCTTTCTTGGAGTGATCCTGCCGAGCGCCGCAGTTTGAGTCCTTCCATTTGTTCCCTGCCTGATACTTGCTGTTTTTCTCGTTTTTCTTAATAGCGTCATACAGCTTTTCTTATGCCAAATACTTTTGTGAAACTGCATCCTCCCGAGCCGAAGGCCTGGTTTTTGAGTTAAAGTATTCGACCTTGGCGTGGATCGCTGCTTGTTTCATCAACTCATCGTAGGTACGCCAGTTGGTACTGTGTACCAAGTACCAAAAATGTGAGGACCGAAGGCCACTCTTGAAGGTGTCGAAGGCCGCCTTATCATCGGTTTCCGGGCACCTGGAATACTCATGGCTGAAACGAGCAGCGTACTCTCGAAGGGGCTCGTCTTCCGGCTGCCAGACGGTGTACAAGTCGTCGGCAGAGTACAACCTGTCTGTCTGAATCATGAAATGGTTCTGGAAGATCCGCTTCAGCTCATCAAAGGAATCGATTGTCCCTAGTTCTAAATGGTAGAACCAGTTCAAGGATGCCTCCGTGAGCGAGGACGGGAACAGCAGGCACTGTCCTTCATCGTTGAGTCCCTTGCATCCCATGGAAGATTGAAAAGAGTGAAGGTGTGTCAGGGGGTCCTCTATGCCCGTGTAAAACGGTGTGTGTAAGGGCTGCACGTCTCTGTCCTGCCGTGAGCGTCTTATACGTTCGGTGAACGATCCTGGCCGAAGCTTTCCCCAGTCGGGTTCCTGAGAACGAGTTCTGTCGTCCTCCATCTTCTGCACCCTCTGAAGGAGGAGGCGAATGACAGGGTCTCTGCTTGGGATCTCCTCTGTTGTATGGTGTTCCGAACGTCGTGGGGACCTGATCGGGTTAACCTCAGAATACCTCGTTGGAGTTGCTAAACGGTAGGTTGACGACTGATTCGTAGAGGAAGCGTACTCATGATCGGATTCCGCCGTCGACTCCAAACCTTGTACCCTTCGTATTGGGGATTTATTCCCCAGGACTCTCAGTCGGGAATCGTTTAGGTGTGCATCTATCATGATCGGTGATCTCTGCCGTTCGGCCTCCCGATCCAACAATCTGTGACGGCAGTCAAAATAGACCTTCTTCGGCACGTGGGGTTTACCCTTAGGGGCCGGGACTACCAAGTGTTTGGAGGGTGCAGGCATTGCCTTTGCCCCCTGCTTACCATTCTTTCGCCGATGGGGAGTCTGTAGACTCTGAGAGGATTAATTGGTCTGAATGTTTTGTGTTTGCTGGTGATTAAGCAATTGTTGCATTTCATCGACTTTGGAAGAGAGAAGATTGTTGTGTTCCTGTAATTTAGCCATATCCTGCCGAAGAGCCGTGATTTGAGCTAGAAGCTTGGCCTCGGCAGTGGTTTGGATTACAGAAGGATTGCCTGTTGGCCACCCGAAGGTGCATGTTTTAAATTTATAAAACTCGCAAGCGCACGAATCATTTGTAGAATAAGCGTGTGTAAGTGAGAGGTCGTACCCACAGGGAGTGCATGAAAAAGATGGAAAACAAACCCAACCCAAGTTAATTCAAAGTTGAAAAAGAAAATGAAATAAAGCAAAGAATTGAAAATGCAAATAAACTAAAATAGGGGAAAAACTAAGGTTTTAGATTCCATACCATTATTCGATAAACTCTAACAATTCCCACGAAGTAGCAATCAGGAAATCAATCTACTACTTTCTCAAGATATATCAATTAAGCATGCATTTTATTAATCTTATGTAAATTCCCCTTCCCTTCATAATTACAAATCCTATGTGAAAAATATTGTTTAACTACAAAGGATCAAAGAAAATTGTATATTAGTAATACAAAACCAAGGATGCATTAATAGATTAACTTGTATTCCTAACTACCACAAATACATGATAGAAGTGGTGAAAAGAAAATTAACCTATTAATCATGTGAAGGTGAAATTATAAACATTGAAGAATATAATAGTTGGGAATTGAAAGTTAAGAACTAGAACTTCATTTCATAATGGTGTTTCATCATTAACAAAGTTTAACTAGACATAAATAAAATAACAATACAAGATAAGAATTAAGAACAAAGAGGAGAAGGAAAAATTGCACCATCAACCCCTTGGTTCCTTGCCTCATGGCTCCCCAAGGTTCTCTCCAATTATATTGCCATTTTTCCTCTCCCTGGATCCTTGCCTCTCGGCTCCCCAGCTGTTAAACTACTATCTATTTTGGTGCCAAAACTCTTACACAAATTCTGCACTCCTCTTCCATTGTGTTGGTCTCTATTTATAGAGGAGTGAGATCCTCTTGCAGCTGCTATTAAACCATTACCAACGTGGGTTATATCATTACATCAACATCTTTTTATTCCTTTTTCTTTTTGGCTGACCACAGATACTCATGCTTTCTTCACGTGTAAGCTGCAGCTCAACATTCTTTTTCATTATCTTTCTTCTTTTGGCAGCTGCCATCCCTCTTTCTTTTCTTTATGTTTCTCTGCTCATTACTTGTAGGCATATTGGCATTTGAATTTCATATCTTGTGTCAGCCAACAACATGCTTTATACTTCTTTTGCTGTGGTAAATCATGTGACTTTGCTGCTGCACACATGGTTGCTGTCCAAAGTTGCTGACTGCTATCTTTTTGGTTGGCTACAATCATTCCTTTAGGTTGCTGGAAAAAGGAATTCTTCTTGAACCAGGATTGGTTTAGGAAGACCATAGGTTTCAATATGTATCCAATGGAGCTCACATTTGGATATGTTATAATAGACACATATTGGACCAACTTTCATGAAGACTGTATTCCCATCTTAGCAGTAAAAACGTGCGTTTTGGGGCTTGCAAGGTTGCTTCCGAAAATGGACTGGAGTTTGGGCTTCATTTCTTTTCTCTCCTTGGGCTGCTTGCAAAGAGAGAGCTACCTAATAGAAAAATTCAACTGTATTAGCCTTTATTTCAATGAAGTGCAAATGAATTTGTAAAATGCAATGTAACATTCTAATTGGTTCAAAATTCATTGAAACAAAGTACTAACAAATATAGATTAGGGATAGAAATTGTAATAATTATGTGTTTATCATTGCCCATTGGTGTACATGGGGGTAGCGCTCGGCTAGCTCCGCCTTGCTTACCGAATGGTAATCCTTCCTGTGGTAAGAACGTAGATTTTAATGTGATCCCCATGTAGTAGGGGTAAAGGGTTGATGTTTATCATTTCCCACAGACGGCGCCAAACTGTTGATGCTCAAAAATGGTTCGGCACTCTTGGGCTCAACTTAGTGATGTTGGGCCTTTGGAACACTTTGGGCCTCGGTAGAGCATGTGATCTACAAGATGAAAAACGCTCAGTAAGGCCTAGGGCACCGGTGTGGTACCGGCCGAAGGCTCTCCGATGCTTAAGTAAGTTCGGATTTAGTAAATTAAACTGATAGATCAATAGGCTTGTATGTTGTTAGTTCTGATTACCTCTATTTTGGGATAGTTGTCCTCTTTTATAGGCTTTGAGAGGTGTGCACATTGTTTAGAATTTCGATGTGGGACTATAGACGTCGATTGTGAGCATGCCACGTGTCCCAGAGAAGGGGGTTGCCCTAATCACAGGATCGGTAGGCCAGGTATCGAAGGCTGCCATGGCCAAGCCCTACCTTGTCCACTTGTTTGGTTCTCATAGGCTGTTCATTTTGGTATAAACACTTTTGAAAAAAGAAAAAAAAAATGACTAAAATGCCGATACCATCCAAGGGAAAAATTGTAATTTCACAAATAGCTAAATTGAATAAAACGATTAAATTGGGTTGGGGGTGTTACAATGTGGAGGTTGAGGCTTAGAACTGGATAAACAAATTTGCTCATTCCCCTGCCAAAACTTCATAGTTAATCTTTTAAAGTCCCATATAAGATTGGACCAAGAGTTCACAACCATTGGACCCCTAACACAATGTCACAGCCACCCAATGGTAAAGCAAACATATAAGAGGTATAGACACAATTCCCTATGGTCAAGGGTACCCCAACACAACAATCCCTACTCTGAACCTGTCCACCATCAGTTATCATGACATCACAAATATGATACTGATCTAACTTCCAACCCAACTTCTTAACCATGCACATATTGATGAAATTATCAGAGCCCATAATCCAACAATACCACAACAAGACAGTTCTTTATTAAAGCATTGAGTTTCGTAGTGTTAATAGCATAGGGGAAGTAGTACCATACCTTATGATACAACAAGCATTCACCTCAGCTACCTATTAAATGTGTTGCAATTCTTGAACTATTTCCTCTTCCTTGGAGCTATTATAACCCATATATCCAGCAATAAGATTTGTTTCCTAGCACACTTATGGCCCCTCACAAATTTTTCATCACAATAAAAGCAAAGATTATTCAGTCGTTTATATTGGATTTCCGCAAGAGTTAATTTCTTGATAGGCATATCCTTCCTCGGAACAATATCACTTTCAGCAGGAACTAAATCATTTTGAATGGGTAAAAGAGGCAATCTTGACTTAAAATTTCCAGAAAAATGCACATACCTCAACTTTTGGAGTTTAACATCCACTTCATGAGCAAAATTCATGTAGCAAGACAAAGCAACTTGACATCATGCTTGAGTTCTTCCCTTAATCCACCAATGAAACAGCTCAATCGAAAATTTGGACTAAGATCTCGGATTCGAGTTGCCAAATGTCGAAATTCAGAGATATAATCCTTTAAAGAACCAATTTGATGAAGCTTAAACAGTGACTCTGCAAAATCCTCAAACCCATAAGAGCCAAATTCTCTACAAAAGGTCCTGGTAAAATCTTCCCACTTGGACAAAGAAGAAGCACATTCCTCCCACTAATACCATTGTAAAGCCTCACGATCCAGATGGAAAGAAATCATTTTTACCTTCTTCTTAGATGGCACCGAAAAATAATCCAAATAATCAAAATACTGCTCCGCCTTGTAAACCCATTCAATTGGATCATCCCCATCGTTGAATCTGGGAAATTCCATCTTAACAAAGGGCATACGATTCTTAGAAAGAAAACCCCTTTACCTCTCACAGTGATCCCTCTCTCCCCGCCGCCGAAAGCCATCCCCATCGTCGTCGTAAGATGGATGCAGAAGGGGATGATCAGAATCTTCACGATGAGAATCAATTGAATCAAGACGTTTATCAATTGACGTGAACTTATCCTTAAGAAGACGTTGAATGGCTTCTAAAATGTGTTGGTTTTTGGAATTAGAGGCTTCGAGCGCAGAAACGTGAGCTTCCATTGTTACCGAATGAGTACGAACACGAGCACATGTCATACACTAAAGGAACAACTTAGAAGATCAATGGCCTTATACCAATGATAAGACTCTATCTTTCTACCTTAGGAATTTACCAAGAGTAGAGGGAATCAAAGAATATTTCTGTATATTTCTCAACATGATCGTACAATGGCTGCCCAATTGGTAATAAAGCCACCGACGAGGTTACAACAATAATTCCCAACTAAAACTTGACACGTGGCTAACTGACTAACCAAAACTGTTTTACAGTTTGCCCCAATTCCTTTCATGAGAAAAGAGGTTTTCAGAGAGAGAGAGAGAGGTTGCAAGAAAGAAATATAGAACAAAAAGAGAGCTTGGAGAGAGGAGAAGAACCATGTGAGCGAGAGAGAGAGAGAGAGAGAGAGAGAGAGAGAGATGTTGCAAGTGAGGTAGAAAAAGAAATACAAATCTGTAAAAAGGGAGATCTTTGGATGTATTGGAAAGAGAGGAAGCTCGGTCTTGGTCTTGGAAGAGAAAGCCATTTTTTTTTTCTTTCTATTCCCTATGTGGCTAGCTCATTCTAATTTTTTATTTTAGATTTGGGCCAATATAGTATAAATATATAATTTGGGGCCCCTTTAATTGTAGGCCCATGCCCATCGCACTCTATGCACACCCTCAAGGCCGGCCCTGCTCTTAAGAGTTTGAGTGCTAAATGGGCCAAAAAAATAATCGGGGACGTTTGATTAGCTTAGTTTCCACCAGAGAAACGGCTGAAAATCCTTGAAAAAAGTGTATGATAAGTGTACAAAATGTTATGTTTTCCCATTTAGATCGGTGCACTAGATACAAAGTTATATCAGGTTTGATAAGGGTTTAAATTAAGTTGTACCTTGAGGCCCAAAACCTTGTGAAATAAGGAAAGGTTTTGAGGCCTATTAAGGAGTCCTATTTTGTTTCCTTTTTTGTGTGAACCGATTAAGTGGGCTTGGAAGATTAGTCAAGTCGGCCCTCGGTTATGAGTAGAGACGACTTGACCTAGCCTATATAAGCTTAAGGCCCTGCTCTCATCAGACACGTTCTCTAAACCTATTCTCATCATAAAGAGAGAGCTGAAACAGATTCTGAGAGAGAGCAGAAGTCTTGAGCCGTTCCTGTTCTTGCTAGGATTGCTGCTTGACAGGACCCGACCCAAATTCCACTTTGGAATCCGAGCCGAACCCTGTGCGTGTCCGACGCCTGGCAAGTGCCGAGCACGAATGACCTAATTGCCCTTCTAGTCAACCTTCAACTAAAACTGGGGTTTGACTTTTGCTGGAAAAAAAAACTCAGCAGAGTCTCCCCTGCAATTAGATCAATCCCAAAGTTACACCTGTCAAACAAGCATATAAAAATATACACCAACTGCCAGCATACAAATAAATACATACTAACAGTTAGACATGTATTCTAGGGCAATATCAGAGCATCTATACAGCGTAGGTTACAAATAAAACACAACTAATCAAAACCAAGGGATGTAGCGGAAGATGGACTCGGCCCGGTGGTGGCGCACTGATGCACGACTACTACCTGGGGGCGCAAAACATTAAAAAGGTGAGTGGACCAAAAACAAAGTTTATGAAAATAGCATATGAACATACTAACCCCACTGTAAAAACAGTTATGAAACTAAATCATTTCTTATATAAAGTCGTACTGAAATCAATGCATTCATATCTATATATATATAATCAATCACATACTTGATCAAACATTAAATCATTGAAAGCATTGAAATCAACTTTTAATCTACCACCTAGGTGTACCCATTTATAATTCCGTCAATTCCTTATAATCCGTCAATTCCATCATTGTGCCACCGGAGTGACACGTCCTAGCAGACCTCGGGAAACACAAGGTCACCCGAGCCGCAATCCTAGCAGAATTCAGGGGACACTTGGTCGGCCTGATCCGCAATCCTAGCACCACACAGTTCGAGCGTCCCCGAGACTCGTGGGGCTGTGTCAAGCATGCTGACCTACCCGAAGGCAACTGGATGTCCGTCGACATCAATAATACCGAAGGCAACATAATTTTATTTCGAAGGCAACTTTATTTCCGAGGCAACATTTATTCTACTGAAGGCAACCTTGGGTACCTATGGTGGCTTAAAAATAAATGTATATACATATATATATATATAATTCTAAAAAAGATTAAAGTTTATAAAACTACTTATAAAACTATTCCTTAAATCCTGCTGCCATTTAATCTGATAATACCTTAGTTCTGACTTTCCAAATCCCTTTGTTAAATGTTCCACTAGGCAGCACATAAATAAATAGAAATATTTAAATCTATCAAGTCATGCTAGGAAAGCTGTATTCAGTAAAACTTATTCAAGATCAAATAATGAAATTAAAATGCATAAACGTTTATAAAACAAAAAGTCCACTCACAGATACTCTGAGCTAGCTGGACCCTTTGAAGGTCCCTCCTGCGGGTCACCTGGTGCCCGGGTGCCTAATTCATCCGATTTGGTGGCCGGATGACGACGAACGGAGCAGACAAAATTCTGCCAAAAATGACGCGATTTTCTGGTTCTCTCCAGCGATTCATGGCGGCAGGCGGCGGGGGAGGACGTCGGGCTGGGAGGCTGGGGAGTCGCCGGTCCGATCTGGGCTGGCCGGCGTCGATGGTGGTGGCTGGGAGGAGGGGTGGTGTCGGCTGGAAAACCAAAGGGGGGGAGAGGGAAGAGATGCGGGGAGAGAGAGAGTGAGGAGAGAAGAAATCTGGTTTTTTTAAAAAATCTGACTTTTTCCAAAATTTCAATTATGCCCTTTTTATGTATTTTGCTTGTAATTTCTTCGTTACAAGTCCAATTTGAGTCCACTACGTGTCTACAGACTCGTTTTGTCGTGCTCTACGCAACGGTACAAGTGGATTTCCAAAATTCCTTCCTTGTCAAAAAGTCAACGTAAAACCTAATAAAATATTCTAAGGGTATAATTGTCTTTTCCTCTAATAAAATATTAATTAAATAATATTTAAGGATTGGGTTGTTACACTGCTGCTACGGATTGGATGAGTTTAGAGGCTGTGTACTCAAGGAAGATGGCTCCAGGTATGTTTTCATGTCTTTATACGTATTACATATTTGTGTGAAAGATCTAGATTGTATAATAAAGAAATCTAACACAAAATGCATAATATTGTGATTGATGATGTGCTATCTAGTAGAAAGTCTAATAATTCTAGCCAACAAATGTTTTATGGGTGGCCCAACTTCTCAAGAAGTTCTGAGAAAATGACACATGCAGCTCCTCCCACTACAAGTGAAAGAGTGAGCCTTCCTCCTGGAACTAACTGTGGCACTGGCAATTTCATAGCTGGGGATGAACTGGAGTACCTATCTGACCAAGACATTGCAGCAGGAAGAATTCCAAACAGCACCAACACTAATAAAAACATGAAATCAAACTTCATTCAAAATGAGTAAAAGTAATGGTTATATGCATCCAAAAGTACAAATATAAAAAAATACACTAAACTGGAAAGCTACACCACAGCATACCTCCATAAGTTCCAGCGAAGTCCAAGGCTTTGAAGAATATTTCTGGGTCTAGCAAAGACAACACAATTGGTGGAACCAACGTCATTGCGTATGGCAGAGATCGGCTCTGACCGGCCGGAAGTTTCAGCACTGAGTATTCGGAAATTGACATTGGATGTTAGATAAGCATACCTTTCTGTACAATTAGATAAGCACAGTGGCTTAAGTATATAAGCATGCATAAACATATTTACAGTGGCTTAAGGAGAAAAAGCCCATTCTCAAAAGGATTTATGATAGAAGTAGGTAAAAATGCACAATGGGAAAAGGAAGAAAAAAAGGCTGAATTACATTTTTGTTCCACTTTGGTCCTAGTCATTTCAATTTTGCCAATTTTAGTTGTTTAGTTTTCTTTAACTTACAATCAAGTCCAAATAAAAAATGTGATTTAGCCAAAATGAAAAAAATGAAAGAAAAAGAAGCTACATAAGGGCTGGACGGCCAGGTGTTTTGAACTCTTAATGAGAAGCTATGAAGATCGGAAAAAAAAAAAAGCGCTCTTGTTTATTTTCATTTCAATCAATTTTTTTTTAATAGAAATGAAATTTATTGAAAGAAAAAGAAGAGGAACACACAAGTGGATAAGAAATCCACAAGCCAAACGAGCAACAACAGAAAAACAGACTAAAAAAACAAAGACACCAGCCAA